ACAAAATTGGAGTGATGACACAACCTTGCTTCACTCCAGTTTTCACCTCAAATGGGTCTGTTTGATTCCCGTTGCTGAGAACCCTTGCTGACATGTTGTGGAGAAGTCTCAGAACACTGATGAACTTGTTTGGGCAGTCAGATTTGGACAAGATTTTTCATAGGGCTTCGCAGTTTACAGAATCAAAGGCTTTAGAGAGGTCAATGAAGGCCAAATAGAGACGTTGATTTTGCTCGTGACACTTCTCCTGTATTTGATGTGTTGTAAAGATCATGTCTGTAGTTCCCTGAGATGGTCTGAAGCCACTTTGAGATTCTGGAAGAATTTCTTCCGCAAGTGGGAGAAGACGGTTAGCAAGGATATGGACGATGACTTTCCCAGAAGTGGCCAACAATGAGATGCCTCAATAGTTTCTGCAATCAGTTCTGCCCCACTTCTTGAAGATAGTAACAATCAAGACATCCCTTAGGTCAGCTAGGATTTCTTCCTTGTTCCAGATTTTAAGGATGAGGACATGAAGCTGACACATAAGTTGTTCTCCTCCTCCTTTGAAAATCTCTGCAGGTGTTCTGTCAACACCGGCTGCCTTGTTATTCTTCATTTTCCTGATGGCACTCCCAACCTCTGCCAGGGTAGGCAGCAAACCAAGGTCTTCTCTGATTGATTTTTGTGGGAAGTTATTAATCTTATCTTCATTGACAGTTGAGTCATAATTCAGAAGGTCCTGGAAATGTTCTTTCCAGCAAGCATTGATGGATTCGCTGTCTTTCAGGAGTGTTGTTCTATCCTTTGATCTTAGAGGATTAAGTCTTTGAGTGGTAGGACCATAGACAGCTTTGGTAGCACTGAAGAGGCCACGAGTGCACGGATGTGAGCCAAATGTTGGATTTCTTTTGATTTCTGAATCCATCATTCATTCTTCAGTTCTCGTGTTCTCCTCTGTACCTCTGATTTTGCTTGTTGGTGTGCATTTTTCTTGACAGCAGAGTTAATGTTATTCTGCCAGGCACAGAAAGCTTTCCATTTCCTGTCAATGAGACCTTGTCATGTTTGTCAAACCAGACTTGCTGTTTCCTGGTCTTGTATCCTATGGTATTTTCACAGGATGAGAGAACAGCTGTCTTAAGTCCTGTGCAGTGCTCCTTGACCCCTTCTGGGTTCTCTCTTGGTAATGTCTCATTCACGAGTTGCTGGAATTCTCTCTGGCTTCTTACCCAGGGGAGAGGGAGGGGTGCTCTTGGGGCAGTGGGGTGCAGAGTCCAGCCTGCAGCAGCAGCTGCCTCCACCCTGCACATAGTTCTGGGAGGCATGTGCCCTCCAGACCTCCACTGGGGCCTGTATAGCAGCAGGAACTGCCCCCCTCCTCACCCCCCAGACGTACCGCTCTCACGGCTCCATCCTGCACCCTGCCCTGGCTGTGCAGCACTTGCCCCTGCCCCAGTCCCACTCCCTCCCTCACCATGGGAGCCTTGATCTGCCCCCTCCCCTCCGCCCACTAAAACCAAGAAAAAAATATAAAGGGGTACATGAGGTGAAACTTTGAGGTAGAAGGGGTACACTTGTTAAAAAAGGTTGAAAATCCTTGTGGCTAGGGCATGCCCTGTTCCCTTTTCTTCCCGCCATCACCAGCTCTTTAGCAGCAAGCAAGGAGGGAGCCTGAAGGATTTGCAAAACCATGCAGAAGTGAAGGGATCTGCTATTGCAAGACCTGGAACAGCAAAAGACCAACCTCTCGAGGTGCTTATTCAGCCAAACGCCCATTCTTAGTCTGTGAGAACCAGGTAGGGCTGATGACCACATTGGGCAAAATACAGGTTCCTTTCAAAGCTTACTGTGCTTTAACTTTAACTTTAAGGAAAAGTGTAGTGCACTGACCTAAAGGTGAGCATGAACTTCATTGCCTTGTTAGGTCCAGGCTGACATAAAGCTGATACAATATGTCAAAGGTCATACATTTTAAACCCTCTGCTCCTCTCCCAAGAACAGTATTATAAAACTACAGCATCCCCCTGCCTGGAAAGCAGGTGTCTTGGTGCATCTCTGGCCACTGCTGCCAGAAACCCTGGTTATTCCCAGAAAGGCTTCACTCTGGTGCTTTTCCCATGCAGGAGAAGTGGCTGCGGTGCAGGGCACAGGCTTTGACCTCAGGCAGCCTGTGGAGATTGGGAAGCACCTGAAGAAGTTCCATCTTGATGGCTTTGACCATAACTTTTGTCTCAAGCAATCAGCGGTTCGGCAGTTCTGTGCAAGGTAGGAACACAGGGTGACCCCTCGTGTGGATGCCCAGTGGGGTGATGGCTGTCTTACTGCCCTGGTGTCACAGACAGGTTGTGCCATCCATGGAGGGTAGATTCACTGTCCTGGAATGAATGGGGTCAGTTCCTGATTTCCTGTTCCTTCCATCTGTCCCATTTCCCACCAGCATGGTCTTGTGGCACGTGCAGAACTGGGACAACCTTACAGCTTTCACAGCATCCTTCCTGACAGGTCCTGCTGAGGCAGGGCCAAGCTGTTATCGCTGGGAATGGAGGACTGCTGTGTTGTCCCAGATTCCACAGAGCCTGAGGAAAACCAAATCTTACCCTCAGTCAGAGCTGCCTCTCCCTTCCCAGCCCAGATTAGGTGTCTTCCCTGCTTCACCCTCCTTCACTCTCTGTCCCTCTCCCCATGTGCTGTTTTCCCACTTCCACATCTTCCTCTCTGTCTCTCCTAGACCAGCTGTCTCTGTTCACCACATGACTGAGTCCTCCTTATCCTCTTCCTGCCCAGACTGAGTCTTTCCTTGGGGAATTAGGGTATCCATAGAGGTACATGGGTCCAGCAGTGGACTTCTGGTTCCTCTCTGTTGTCTGGGGAGAGAGTACAAGACATTGTTCCTGTGGGGCAGAGAGACATTGCCTTCTGTTCTGAAAGAGCTGATATCCTTTCCCTCACCCAGCCCAGTTTCCTTGTCCTCTGATCTCCTTCCTTGCCCTCATCTCTCTGCACTCTTTTGGGAACAACATTAACTGTGTCTCTGTTTACAGAGTTCACCACCCCCACAGTGGCAGAACCCTGGAGGTCTACACTACACAGCCAGGGGTCCAGTTTTACACTGGAAATGCTTTGGATGGCTCTCTGACAGGCAAGGGTGGCACAACGTATCCCAAGCACTCTGCCTTCTGCTTGGAAACCCAAAACTGGCCGGATGCAGTCAACAAGGTAACTGCATCTCTCCTGGTGCTGCATTAGCCTTGGGCTGAGTCTGCTCTTGTTGCCTGGGAATTGCCGAAGCACCTATGGAGAGACAGGCCTGCTGTGTCATTATTGTATCGGTATCATTGGGCTGGCAGGATGAGGAAATGCCTTCATACCAGCCGGTCTTCATGACAGATGCCTGCTTTAGTAAGATCAGGACAGGGCTCACAGAGGGGTGTGATTCTAGCTGGCAGAGCTTCAGTGTAGATGCAGTTGCACTGGCACAGTTGCGTTAGTACCAGCACAGCTAGTGAGGTGCCTTTGCTGACTTGGTGTAAAGCATGGCTTTGCTGGTCTGACTGCTTTCAGGTAAGGGCCAGGTAAGCTTGGGACAGTTTTGGTAGCATGGTTCCATTGTTAAGAGTGTGAAAACAAATCACAGCTCTAATCAAAACCTAAAGCCCCCTCAGCTGGTAACAGTGATTGTCCTTTCACTGGCATAGCTTATTCTGCTGAGGGACCAGTGAGGGAGTGCCTTTCACTGCTGCAAGCTGCATCTCCACTCAGAAGCTTTGTTCATCCCAGCTAGACCTGCAAACTTTTTGTAGTGCAGACCAGTCTCAGGAGCACTTTATCAGATAAAGCCTACCAGCAACAGTCCTATCTCAGTAAAACTTTCCTTGTGGAGATGCAGGGAAGAGCTATGTTCAAACCGTTCGTCTCTCTTGCTGCATTGGCATGGTTAAAATATTAGTTTTGGTATGGAACCAGCCTATAGGAAACTACCTCAGGGGCCATAATTCTGTTGACCTTAGGCCAAGCTCCTGTTGCTCATATGGTAGGTGCCCAGGGACCTTTTCTGTTTGTGCATCCAGGCAGCAGCCTCTCCTACAGGTAGGGATGTCTCTAACCAAAACATAGTACAGAGCTCACAATGCAGCTGGGGAATGAGACTACCAAGTAAGGAGGCAGCTGAACACCCCTCTCAAGCGATGGTGATGGGTAGGATGGTGGGAACTTAGCAGCTAGTTGCGCCAGACAGCTTTTCCTTTCTGCCCAGCTCCCACTCACGGAGGTGTAAGAATGTGCGTTCAGGTTTCTGTGAAAATGTGTCCTCCTGCCAGCCTGCAAATAGTGATTATCTGCTCCACTTCAGAATAACCCCCACCCCCAAAAAGCGGGGGTGGTATCTGCATGTGAAACAGCCATTTGGAATGCACAAAACTGCATCAAAGCTTTGAACAAACTAAGTAGCTTGCTTGTTCCTAGCTCCTCCATTTCAGTAGGAGCATTATGTTTCTTAGGCCCTAATAAGAGCCCTAATAGGTTGTATTGAGTTAAACCAGGGGTGTCAGACATATGCTATCTGGCCCATGAAGGTGAATCACCCAGACCACAGAGCTTCTTGCAGCCAAGACCACCCTCCTCCATAGGCCAGATCTAGCCCACACTTGCCGTGGCCCTCATAGCCCCAGCAGCAGGGGTGTTAATCCCTGCTGTTTCAACACAGCTCAGAACCGTAGGAGTTAATACAGCTGTCTCCCGCCCATTACCCACCATGGGATTTTAGTTGCCTCTGCTATCTCAGCTTGGCAATAGAGGAAGAGAGGTGGGTACCAGTAGCTGCATTAACTCCCTGGATTCCAAAACAGCAGCTCTGATAGCCTGGGAATTTAATACCATAGCTGCATTTGTGGACCATCTAGCCCATGAGCAGCCTCGTGGTCTGGATCTGGCCATAGGGCCTAATGAGTTTGACACCTCTGGGTTAAACAATCTATGCCTAAAATGGCACTAGGAGAATTAAAATGAAAACCAGGGCCTCCAGTCTCTAACCCAGTGTTCTTGACCAGGCTTGTCCAACATGCAGCCCGCCAAGCCATTTTCTGAGGCCCACAGTGCTGTGACAGGAAACTAAAGTAAACACTGTTTACTTTTGTTCCCACCCATTGTACCTCCCCCAACCCCCCAACAGCTTCCTAATGGCTGCTGAAGGGCTGGGGAAGGGATAAGGTTCCCACATGCACCGTGTCAGCTTGACATTGCCGACGCGGTGAGTGTGGGAAAAGGAGTAGCTGTGTGCGTCTCAGGACAGGATGAGCCCAGCCAGAGCAGCAGGGGCTCAGCTGCACTTTCCCATACCTGCGCCGGTCAGTCCCGAGCGGCACACGGCTCCGCCGCCGCCGCTTCTGCTGGCTGGTGTTGACCCAGCTGGCCGCCTCCCGTCTGCAGCAGCATGTGGGAAGCCAACTTCAGTTGCATGCCGCTTTTCCTGGCTGATGCTGACCCGGCTGGGTCCATCCCATCCGGAGCAGCATGCAGCTGAAGCTGGCTTCCCACATGCTGCTGGGGATGGGAGGAGGCTGGCCAGGTCTGCACCTGCCAGCAGAAGTGGCGGCAGAGCCGTGCGCTGCTCGGGACAGGATGAGCCCAGCCGGAGTGGCAGGGGCTTAGCTGCATTTTCCCCCTACCTGCATCAGTCAGTCCCGAGCAGCACATGGCTCTGCCACCGCTCCTGCTGGCTGGTGCCAACGTGGCCAGCTTCTTCCCATCCCCAGCAGCATGTGGAAAGCCAGCACGGGAGTGGGGGAGGGCCTCGGCAGGCAGGGTCCTGGCACGACCTGTGCAGGGCGAGGTGGTGGGAGCCACTGTCTGCCAGACACCGCACTCTGGGCTAGCAGCGCTGAGGCCACCGGGCCTGCATGTGCGGGTGGCCAGGCACCATGATGAGCGGGGCTG